ATTCCTCAGCCAGCATGGCTGGCTGGGGAATTCTGGGAGTTGAAGTCCACACATCTTCAAGTGGCCAAGGTTGAGAAACATTGGTATAGTGGTTAAAGGCACCGGACTAGAAACCAGGAGATGGTGAGTTCTAGTCCTGCCTTAGGCACGAAGCCAACTGGATGACTTTGGGCTATCACTTTCTCTCAGCCCTAGAGAGGAGGCAAGGGCAACCCACTTTTTAAAAATTTGCCAAGAAAACTACAGTGACTTGTTCAGACAGTTGCCAAGGGCCGAATTTGACTCAAAGAGATCCCCCGCAAATGTAGCCGAAGTTCTGCAAAGAATTCGTTTGCAAATGCCGGTCAATTCCAGAAGCATTCTCTCTCTCAATCCTTAAGGTGTTTTGTATTTTTTTAGGTGTCACAAATCCTTGGGTGCTCAAAGCAGGCTTTTCAGGTTGTTTTTTTATTTATATTTATTTATTCATCACATTTGCACAGCCACCCAGACCATGAACGTGACTCTGGGGTGGCGTACAATTAAAACAGACCATAGAAAACAAACATTAAAAATTACACCATAATAAAAATGTTAATATTATTTAAAAAAAACTAGGAGAGAGCATCTTTGGGGTTACACACCGTGTGGCCATCTCAGCAATTCTCCATTTCCCTGAGATCCCCAAGCCTGCTGACACAACTACATTTTAAGGGACTTCTGGAAGGTTGGCAAATATGGGGCCAATCTCACCTCAGGGGGAATGAGGTTCCACAGAGTGGGTGCCGCGCAGAAAAGGCTTGCCACCAGATGTAACTCAGAAATGTAGTGTTTGTGATTCCAAAACAGAACACTGGCCTTGTCCACACATTGCACTAGCCATAATGTGGTTTCCTCATTTTTGGCTTAGCTTCTTGCCGGAACCCAGCCACGTGGGGTTTTACTCTGTTAGCCATGGCCAAACAAACCATGGTTTAATGTGTGGATCTGGCTAGAGGTCCGCACTTTATTCCGCAAAAGGAATGAAACTTCCCATTGCACAGACACCAGGAGAGTGGTGTGAGTGCACACCAAGTGTAGAATCCTGTCCTCAGTGGGACCAGTCTCTCTCACACAAAAGAATTGATAAACCGTGATTTGCAAACCACAGTGACCAGGTTCACCCATCCCACTCAGCCAAAAAATAACCCTCGTGGCGTGTCGAGAACCCCGTATTTAAAACAGACAGAAGGAAACGACTCCTCCAATTTGGCTTCCGTCGTCCAAGAACCTGAATCTTCGTTGCATTCCAAGTTGAACCGGCGAAAAAAGGACATTGAGAATCTTGGTTCCGCCTCCCTTTCATAACACTTTTATTTTCTTTGAAACAAATCCAGCCCGAACCAGCCATTTAGAACATCAGCTTTAAAATTGGCTATAACTAACCTGAAAGTAGTGTGGTTCGGGTTTTTTTTTAAGGGATTCATTTCAGGCTTAATCCAATTTCCTTCTCTCCTGCCTTTTTCAGCGTGTACTTTACAGTGACCGGTTGCCAGGAGCGTGCCTGGTAGCCTCCGTACCTCAAACCAGCGAGCGCAGGACAATCGCAGCCTCGACCCCGTTTGTGTAACTGGGCCTAAGAGTTGCTGGTGTGGCGCTTGGGAGTTGTGGAGTTCCATCCGCAAACCCAGACCGAAGGAGCAAACTTTAGGGAGTATGAAGTTTTATAGACTGTCAACGTTTGAATGGCCTAATTTATTTTTCTGCCTGGCAAAATAGAATTTAAGTAACATTAAGTAAGTTAAGTAACATTAGGGGCTGTCGAGCATTTAACATGCAGGGACTAAACTCAGGGTGGTTTTGTCGAAGTCGCATACTGTAGTGCGCAATCCAGAACAAGAGGTTTACAAGTGGGTTGTGCCAGGGTGGTGTTCAGGCAGGATGTCCTGACTGAGGGAAGATGGAAAATCTGACAGAGAAATGTCTTCATAAACTATTTTCTGACCCCTGCAAGAGAGTTGGTGTTTATTCCATTCTTTCATTTACCATGGGGGG